GCGGAGGGCGAGGCGCGCGCGGCGCGGTGAGCGCACGGCGGGCGGGTGGAGGAAAGGGGGAGGGGGAGGAGGGAGAGAAAGAAAGGGGGGACGGAGGAGGGGGAGAAAGGAGAGGAGGAGGAGGGAGGGGGAGGGAGCGGGGAGAGAATCATTTCTCATTTTACAAACAGGAAACTAAGGCTCAAACAGGCTAAAGTGAGTTCCCTGGAAGCTCGTTCCCAGGAAATGACGGAGACGGGGCTCCTGCTCCATTGTCAAATTGTGAACTGAATAGGCGTAGTCTTTAGGTAACTAACTTGACTAGAAATTCGGGAACTAGAGCTTATACTGAACAACAATGTGCAGAAGTAACCCAGGAGGTGAACATTCTAGAAACAACTTCTCTGTTGTTTTCAACAAATCAATGATTTTTCTAGAATAGAAGAGACTCAAAAGACATAATAAATAAAGACAACGTACGTGCTTCAGTTGGATCTTGGTCTGAATAAATTAGTATTGTGATGGTATAAGAAAAAGTCCAAAATTTTTAGAGGTGGAAAGTGATAATTAAGCTTAAAATGGCATGATGTCTCTAACTGTAAAATAATGTAGTAAAATGAAAAGATGGTGTAAATTTGCACAAGAAAAAAAGAATAAGCACATTGCCCATGTAGTAAGTGATATGTGATAAGTATATGGAGGCTCATTATACTATTCTCTTTTTTCTCTATTTGAAAACGTTCATAATCAAAAGTCATCAAAAATATTCTCTTTGGATCTTTGTGACCTTCAGTGAATAGTGTAATCTGTCTGGGTGTTCAAATTCCTTATCAGTGAAATGGGGCTAATAATATACCTGTCTCCCAGGGTTGGAAGAATTATATGAGGTGGTTTATGAAAAGCACTTAGAATGGGACATAATTCCTCATCTGCACACACCATTCATTCACTGAATGTATCTTTGCGGAGGGCTTGCCCTGTGCCAGGCTTTGTGTTAGATGCTGGGATCCTGAAGACAGATGGGTGCTACCCTCCACGGCTTTCGTTCTAGTGGCATTTATCACTGTTGAAGATTTCACTCTTTTATTGACATTGTTCATTCTCTTCTGGGGAGCCATCAGAAGAAAGATAGATGGGGAAGTACCTCTTTAAACAAAAAACTAAAGCTGCAACTAAAGTTTCTCACTGTCTTCCCACTTAAAGTTTATTTTGTCTTCATGGTCCTACCCAGTTCTTTTCCCATCTGTTTCCCTATAATTATATCATCCCTGTATCATCTCCATCTTAAATGGAGGCCAGATTTTCACATCAACGTATCTAGAAAACATTTTTTGAATTTTCCAACTGGTCGATCCATCTGTAGGGTATATATACCTGCATTTGAATTGCATTCCTGCCATGTAGCCCTGGCCTTGGGCAGGTCACCTATTTTCTCTGAGTTATACTTTGCCCATCTGCAAAATGCCGATATACCTACGTGGTATATAAGCAAGCACTGGAAATTAGAGGTAATTTTTGTAAAGTATTTAGTATACTGATCTATATGGTTCAGATCATTATAATTAGTGGATAAACTGTCTACATGCTATACTAACATCTCTGAGGAAAGCGATGCTGGAGGGGAAGGGGAAAGGCAGGCTATGGGGTCCCTGTTAATCTGATCCTCTGTACAAGTAATGGTAGCTATGAAGATACTGCTGTAACGTGAACCTTTTGGAAATTAGTGTTTCAGCCAATACACAGACGTTCATCTTCAAGCCATCATGAGCTCTAAGAAGCAGAGGCCACAGAAGGACTCATATGAAAAGAATAGCAAGAAAATTGAGCACTACTTTTCTAAGGTATGTTTATAAATACTGTTTATGGAAGATACCAGTATTAGGCTCAGCCCTTCTTGACACCGGGCTTTACAGTTCTTCCTGTCAAGAAATTATGTCATTTTTCTTGTAGGGAAATTACATAGGGAACAGTAAATAAGTTAAAGTCTGTCTCATCCATTTTATTCTTCTTATTTTGGTGGGATGATGGTACGGAGGAATTTTAATAAAATTCTTAGCCATATCAAAGCAGACTTTGATAAAATCTGTTGTAACACCTTCTGAACAACAACCAAAAAATCAGATATAACATATTACAGTAAACTGTGGAATAAAAGCAAAATTAATACTATTTCATGACCTGAAAATATATACCATCCCAAACATGGCTGATCTATTTATTCAGTAACAATAATAACCTACATTTGTATGGTGCCTTACAGTTTATAAAACAATTTTTTTAATGTTTTTTCTTACCATAACCTTGTCAGGCAGTTAGGGAGGGTTTTATTCTCCTCAATTTGTTTACAAGGAGAGAGGGGGACTGAGTTGCTGCTTAAGGCAGAAGCGGAATGAAGACTTGGACTAGTGTTGACTGACATTAAGTTGGGGCTCTTTCTACTAATGGGGCACTGTTATCCTATCAAACCAGTATCTCCTTTCCTGAGTCTTAAAATACTCCTTGAATTAATCAACAAGAAGGCTGAGAAATGGTAAGCACTTGAAAATGCAACTTAAAAGCCTTTAACTTTTCTCTTACTCTAGTCCTAACTAGAACATGTGAGTATTTAGAAAAGCCGAAACCAACCTAGTTCTGTTTCCCTCTGCCCTACTCCATGACAGAGCAAGCTAATTGCCCTGGTCCCTCTTGAAAGTGTCTACATCTGCCCGAGAATCTCTTGACTAGTCAGAAATCCATTACAGTGTTCCGATGGGGTGTGTGACACTTCTGACAGCCTTAGGCTGAAAGGATGGTTTTCTGAGAGTCTGTGTGTATGCCCAGAGTACATTTATACTGCCTTTTGTTCCTTCTTCTCTTTTGTTTTGGCGTTTCGGGATCCAAAATATTAGTACCGTTATGAAGAAGGAAAATAAAAGTTAACCTATCTATGTGCCAGTCATTGTACTAGGTGTTGTCACACATGATGTTACACTTAATCCTTACAAGAATCCTGGCATTGTTATTCCCATTGTAGCAAGTGTCCTCGCTGGCACATGAACCCGTATCTGTTGATGCCTGTGCCATAATGAATATGACTTGGGGAAAACATATCTTTTAGACATAGGAAGCAGATGCTCTTAAATTTTTATTGAATTTCTGCTATTCGATTAACCCTCCCCTGTAATTCCTCTCCCTTCCCCTACTCCTGGTTTTTAAGATAATGCTCTATAAAAATAGGAATCATGAGTATAAAACTTACAAAAAATGTTATATAGTCTAATGGAAAAAATACTGGAGTACTGATACTCAATTTATTCATTGGTTATTATGTGACCATAGGGAAGGCACTTATAAGAAAAACTTTCTGTATCTCAGTTTCTCCATCAAAAGGACAGAGACGCCATATTTATTCCTCCTCACTTTATAGAATTTGGGGATTAATTAATATAATAGAGAAAATAGAGTTCTTTGCCTGATAGATGCTAAGTGAATCAGAGTTTTTATTATCAGAAATAACTATATTATTGTGACCAAATGATTACATAACTGATGATGGTTTTGTCTAACATTTAATGCCTGAAAATAAACCATGGTTACTTATTCTTGCTGAGTTTGGTGCTTTAAGAACACATCACTATGCTCAAAAAAAGTAAAACTTTTATAGCTGAAAATAGTAAACAAGACCTGAAGTAACACTATGAGAGAGCTGGCAGACTTTTCAGCATCTCTGTTTTTGATGCACCTGGAAAACATTTGTCTTTTTCCTCATATTTCTCAGGAAAAAAAAATGCACCAGTGTAGCAGTATTAAGAGCTTGTCTGACTGATGAGATGGGAAACTCAGCTTTTATTTTGGATCCCAACTCAGATTCCGATTTAATTCTATTCACTGGCCTTTTGAGATTGGCTCTGAGTTTCACAGATAAATTTTGTGAATGGCATGCTCAAAAGAAAAACAAGAGACTTAGGGTTGCATTGTAGCTTTAAAGTATGTAACATTTGTGTTTAGGTCAATGAAAAGCAGGAGAATAATCCCAGTACTTCTCAAATGAAGACGGACTCTAGAAAAAGTTCAGAGAATACAGCCAACACCCAGGCTGAAGGACCCAAAGGCCAGACTGTATCCCAAGATAAGACAATTTATGTTCACTTGAATGTAAACCTCAAGAAAAACAAAAAAATGCCAGTTGCGCTCACGCATACTAATAAGGCTAGCTTATACATGGCACTCAGCACTCTCGAGACTGTCAGAGAAGCAATGGAATCTCATCCAGGCCAAGAAATGCTGGTATGTGACAAAAGTGGAATTGAAGGATACTTAAACCTTGGAATGCCCCTGAGCTGTTTTCCTGAAGGCTGCCAGGTGGAAATCACCTTTGCTCCATGTAAAGCAAAGCAGGAAGAGGTGAAGCAGGTATTCCGCCAGCACAACAACATGTCTACTGATGACTGCGTCAAGTTTTATATTCACCCAGTCGGGAAGGGCACCAGGAAAAAGATTGTCAAGTGCGGGCAACTTCACAAAGATGGGTACAAACTCTGCATCTTTGCCTTCAAAGGAGAAAGCATTAAGAAGGCTCTGTGTGAGGATGGCAGATTTCTTCCCGTTCTGGAGAATAATGATTGGAAACTCATTGAAAACCTGAACTGCATTTTTGAAAGCTCACAGAAGGTTGATCACCTGGAGGGCAAGCTCTTTCAGCTTAGTGTTGAGAAGAAAAGCGTGGCTACTGTGGCTACCATGGCTACCGTGGCAGCAGCTGCTCAGAATTCAGAGTCAGAGGAGATAAACCCCTCTGGGCTGATAGAAGAAATTGTCGACCAGTACCCCAGTTTGAAAAGAGAAAGGGAGAAAATTAGAGAAAACTTTGAGAAAGAGAAGCAAATAAGAAAGGGGAAACAATTATTTAAATTGCATAAAGCAAACTTTGGGAAACTGACCAAAAACTCTACTTTGGTTAAAGTCCACAAACTTCTTTCTCATCTCAGTAATTCAGTTGGGTTCCTATCATGGGACAACAATGGGAATACAGGTTGTGCCACTTGCTTTGTCTTTAGTGGGTTGTACATTTTCACTTGTCGGCATGTAATAAGTGATATTGTGGGGAAGGGAGTAGAGCCAAGTATGTGGGCCCATATCATTGGTCAATGTGTAAAGGTGACATTTGTTTATGAGGAGTTCCTAGAAAGAGAAGAGAACTACTTTTTCGTTGAACCTTGGTTTGAGGTATCTGATGTAAATCTTGATTATGCTGTTCTCAAACTGAAGACCTATGGACAGCAAGTGCCTGTGGGATTATACAATGGAATCGGTCCTGCACCACACAGTGGGTTGATATATATTATTGGCCATCCAGATGGGCAGGCAAAGTCTACTGATGCTTGTTCTGTGATCCCACAGGGTCAGCGTGAAGAGGTGTATCAGGAAAGTCTTCAGGCTAGGGAAGCAGAGAGTTATGGTCCTGGCATGCAGTATATCCATATGCACACTCAAAGAAGTTTCCCAGAAACAAGTCGAGAGTCTAGTTTGATCACTTATCACACCTCGTTTTACTTTGGATCTTCTGGCTCCCCTGTTTTTGATTCAAATGGTTCATTGGTGGCCATGCATACTGCTGGCTTCCCTTATATCTACCAAGGTGAGTTTTCTAGCATCATTGAATTTGGCACTACTCTGGAATCCATCGTCTCTGATATCAAGGAAAACCATACAAAGTGGTATGAAGAAGTATTTACAAATCTGCAGGAAGTAGAAATGGTGAGTGTTTAGGATGAGGAACAGTGAGAATTCAGTCAGTTTGCCACCTTTAAGGGAATTACCTATGGAATTGTTATTCCATGAGCAATGACGATAGTTTTCTACCTTCCACAATGGTCAATCTCATAAAAATATAATAATTAATGTTATCAACCACTTCCTATGCACCAAGCATTTTTCTAAGCACGTTAAGAGACTAGTCTTAACAACTCTATGATGAACTAGACTATTATCCCTGTGTTTTCTCTTGCAAATGCCTGTATTGTGGCTGTGATAGCTGCCTCCAGTGCCGCTGGATAGCCACCCAGCTTTATAGCACCTCCATACTAGGGACACCTCTTGCTGACTGCTTAGGGCACGTTGCTGAAGAGGGTGGGCAGGCCATGTGAGATTGTAAGAGCTGTTCACAAGAGAGGAGGTAGAATGTTGGAGGAGGTAATCAAGAGGAAGTAACCACTGGTTGACCTTCGAGCTGGACCCGGGCAGTTGGAGGCACTTCTGTCCTTGGAATGTACACTTTGCCTACCATTCCCACAGTGAGAGCTGTTCCAGGGACATAACCTTGACTTTGAAATACTATATGATATCACTTGTAAATGGACTCTACAAAATAATACAAATGAATCTATATACAAAACAGAAACAGACTCATTGACATAGAAAGCAAATATGGTTCCCAAAGGGGAGAGGGAAGAAGAGAGGGACAAATTAGGAGTATGAGATTAACAGATACAAACTGCTATACATAAAATAGGTAAGTAACAAGGATTTACTGTATAGCACAGGGAATTTTATTCAATATCTTGTAATAACCTGTACTGGAATGTAGTCTAAAAAAATAGTCATATCACTTTGCTGTACACCTGAAATTAACACAATATGGTAAATCAACTATATTTCAATTAAAAAAAATTCTGGCAAGAGGGTGCAAAGATCTACCCATCTTATGACCTCTTAAGCCAAGCTTATATGTAAGTTCCCTTGCGTATTAAACTGCTACCTATCAATCTGGAGTGGTCTGCCTCTTTCTTTGGTCTCTTCTTGCCCTCCGTGTACAGGGGCAGTTTTTGATCTAACAAGCTTTGCCCCAACCATCTTAAAAGTAATAGGCGCCTATCCCACTTCTGGGCATTTATCTGGAGAAAATTCTAAGCCAAAAAGATAACATGCACCCCAGTGTTCACAGAAGCACTATTTACAAGCACTATTTATAGGCAAGACAAGGAAACAACCTTCCATGTCTATTGATAGATGAACAGATGAAGAATTTGTGGTAGATATAGACAATTGAATACTACTCAGCCATAAAAACGAATAAAGTAATGCTATTTGCAGCAACATTGATGGACATAGTGATTATCATATAAAGTGAAGTAAATCAGACAGAGAAAGACAAATATATGATATCACTTACATGTGGAATCTAAAAAAGTGATATAGATGAACTTATTTACAAGCCAGGACTAGACTCACAGACATAGAAAACAAACTATGGTTACCAAAGAGAAATGGTAGGGGAGGGATAAATTAAGAGTTTGGGATTAACAAACACACACTAGCATATATAAAACAGATAGACAACAAGGACCTACTGAATAGCACAGGAAACTATATTCAAGATCCTATAATAACTTGTAATGGAAAAGAATCTGAAAGAGAGTATAAACATAATATATGTATAACTGAATCACTTTGCTGTACACAGGAAACTAGCACAACACTGTAAATCAACTTTATTTCAATTTAAAAATGTAAGATGCTTGATACCATGCTCTCTGTCTCCTGCTCACTCACGACTTGGGATGTAGGACAACCCTTCCTTTGGCTCGATGCTCCTTACCCCAGCTTCTAGGATCTGTAAATAAAAAATCTTGTGATTCCTTTTCCTTTGTGTGGGTGTATTGAAACCATGCCCTCGATCCAAATGACCCCATGAGTTTCACTTGCCCACAGTGGGAGCTCGGATGCTGAGGGAGCTACCTGGTGACCCTGTGTGGCTGGTTTGTGCCCCCTCATTCAGCAAGTTATCATCTACTTCTTCTTGATTCAATATACCAGCTCCAGCTTCCCAACACCCTTGGAAAGATGCAGTTAAAGTTCCTCTGTGTCTTTTCATGGTTTCATAGCTCATTTGTCTTTATCACTGAGTAATATTCCATTGTGTGGAATACCATTCAGTGGAATACCACTGTCTGTTTGTGCATTCATCTTTTGAAAAATGTCTTAGTTGTTTTGGGGTGATTATAGCTAAAGCTGCTATAAGCATTTGTATACCAATTTGTATGTGAATGTAACTTTTCAACTCAATGGGTGGAAATACCTAGGAGGGTGATGACTGGACTTTATGGTAAGATTACGTTTAACTTTGTAAGAATTTGCCAAACTGTCTTCCAGTGTGGCTGTACCATTTTGCATTCCCACCAGCAAAGAATGAGCATTCATATTGCTTCACATCTTCACCAGCATTTGGTGTTGTCAGTTTTTTTTTTTAATTTTAGGCATATTAATACTATTGGAATGCCTGATACTCTTCAGGAGATTGTGGGATTTATTCATAAACTGGGGCTGTCTTGGTGATCTAGCATATATATACATAATTATAGTATCAGTCTGGATTTTAATGGAAAAATACAGCCACTATAAATATTATAAGAATAAAGTAGTTAGTTAGGAATTGGGGCTTATATGAATACAGACAGAGTAAGGGAGGAGAAGATCTGTAAAACTGCAGGAAGAGGATGTCAGCCTAAAGCACAGGAAGCCGAGGAGAACCTGCTGACTGATGTACGGAAGTCTGAGAATTTGCATATCTTGTCACCATGACGTGGTCAAGAAGTCATGCAGTCACGGTAACGATGAATCAGGGAGTGAGTTTACGCTGAGTGCCACCCAGAAGTTTACAAACCGAACAGCCAGAGGAATTGAGAGAAGGGAGAGGAAGTGGATGAGGTGGTGTGGGAAGGCTGAAAGCAGGAGATGGGACTCACCAGCAATTGCACTGAAGGATTCACTCCATCAATATTAATTTACATGTTGGGCATCCTGTTACTGTTGTCCAGAGAATGGAGAACAAGACAACATGATCCCTTCCCAAAATCCCCTTTTCTGTCTAGGTATCAACCAGTGTTACTGTGTGATTTGATCTTTACAGTGTACAGCATTCCCCAAGGAGCACTTCCTGGACAAAATTCAAACAGCATAATCATTGGAGTAAGGTATAAAGTATAAAACAGAACAAAACAAATACTATTTCTCAGTCTCATTATTTGCAGATTCTGTATTTGCAAATGTACCTCCTCCCTAAAATTAATTTGTAATCTTCCCCCGCCCCAAATCCACACTGGTGCTTTTGGTCATTCACAGTTGTGAGCAGAGCAATAAAATATTTGAGCTGCCTGATGCATCCATTCCCAGCTGAGGCAGAACAAAGCCCTGCACTGCCTTTTTTCAGCTCTCATAGTGTAAACAAGTAGCTTTATCTGCTGTCTATTTATTACCACGTTATTGCATTTTTGTGGTTTGTTTTTTTTTTCTGATGGTGGTGTTTTTGCTGCTTAAAATGGCCCTCAATCATAATGCTGAGGTGCTGTCTAGTGTTCCCAAGCACAAAAAGTTGTGATATGCCTTATGGGGAAAATAAATACATGTGTTAAATAATCTTTGTTCTGGCACAAGTTACAGTGCTGCTGGCTGTACATTTCATGTTAATGAGTCAACAACAGACATTAAATAAGGCTTTTTTTTTAAAACAGGAACACACATCAAACAAGGTTCTATACTGATTGAATGAAAATGTTGTGACCAGAGGCTCACAGGAATCTAGCCCTGTGTTTCCCCAAAGAGCAATGTTTCAATATTCCCTAATTCAGAGTTTGCAGCAAATTTATGGAACAAAACTGCCACAAATAATGGACTTGACTGTATATATCATTTCAAATGTAATTGCAAGTGTCTGATCATCACAGGAACTTAGATGATTGACTGTGTATTTAATGATTTCTGACATACTATCTCAGTACCTATTAGACAAGTAGAGTAGGTACTATTATTCCTGTTGCCTGTGTGAGAAGGAAGAATAACTGAATTGCTGTCCAAATTCCAGGGCAAAGACTGAAACTGAAGTCATGAAATATAGTTTATTGTTCTTTCTGCTAATTGAGCTTGTTCCTCAGACCATAGCACCCCTGTGTCCGATTCCTGTGTCTAACATCCACCCAGATCGCTTAAGAAGCACGGTAAACATCTCAAAATGCAGCAAATGCCCTTTTCTGATTCTCCTTTGTTCTACCTTCGAAGACCAGGTAGTTAGAAAGTCCAGCTTTGGCCTGGATTTATCACCATCTGTCCTCCAATTCCCAGCTGTAGAGCCAACCCACAATCACATGCTCGCACAGATCTCTGTTTGAAGTGGGACAGTGGGCTGAAGGGACTTGTAGTGAGTTGAATTGTGCCTCCTCAAAGGTTTGGCCAAGTCCGAAACCCTGGTACCTGTCAATATGAGGTGAGGTCATCCTGATGAATGGGGTAGATCTTAAATCCGATAAAAAGTGTCTTTATAATTATAGGATAAACAAAGAAGGAGCGATCCATTATGGAAGTCCACATGGTGATGGAGGGAGAGAATGAAGTGCCACACCTACAAACCAAGGAACGCCAAGGGTTGCCGGCAGGCGTCGAAAACTAGGAGAGAGACATGGAACAGGGCTTTCCTCAAAGCCTCCAGAAGGAACCAGCTCTTCTGGCACTGATTTCAGGCTTTGGACTTTGAGAACAGTGCTGTGAAAGAATCCATTTCTATTGTTTCAGCCACCAAGTGTGTGGTCATTTGTTACAAACCTGATGGTTTAAAACTAGACATCTCTCTCTGCCTCTCTCACAAAGACATGGAAGGCTGCCCAGATAATCCAGGATAATCTTCCTATCTCAAGTTCCTTAATTTAATCACTCGTGCAACTTCTTTGCCAAGTCAGGCAACATTCACAGGTTCTGGAGATTAGGACATGGGTGTATCTTTGGAGGCCATTATCCAGCCTACCACACAACACACACCAGGATGAGGATGACTTGGGAAAGTATACCTTTAAGACTGAGGGATCAGATGCTCTGTTTTCATTTAGTTTCTATTGCTTAAA